ACTTGTATCTCCATTATACTTGTCGTGATATATCTTTGAATATGAGATATATTAGATATTGCAGTTTTCTGAATTTTTTTAATAGCTTCTATGATCTTTAAATAAATATTTAATAATTATTTGCATATATAATAAAATAATTTATTTATATATATACCTACATATTCATTTTTTTATCTATCTTCATCTTTATAAATAGATTCTTTAACTTCTAATACTTTTATAAAATAGAATATTATAATCTGATTTTTATCTTTGTAACAAAATCTGAACCTGAATTATGTTACCGTGCTAATTTTATATTTTTAAAATGATCTGATAATTTGTTTCTGATAGATTTGATTTTTAAAAAAGCAAGAACATAATTAAAAACAAAAAAAAATACATATTTTATAGATTATCAATTTTAATTTTAATTAATTACTTTTAAATACTAATTATTATTGGTTAATCAGATTTGCATTAAAATTTTTGATGATACAAGACTTTTGTAAACTATCATATATAGCTATTTAAAATCCTAATCAGACTTATCAGATATCTTTATTTTGATATGTGGGCTAAACACCCTTTGTCATATTATTATCTATTTCTAATACATTTAGTTCATCTTGTTACCTTGTTTGTTAATAAACTTTTGGCTTATAAGTAGGATTACTTATAGCTAATAATGGATCCTTAAAATATTTAGTATATAAAATTTCACAGATCACTTATGTTTCTTTTTGGGGAATAAAATTTATAGCTCTTCACTTTAATAGGGACAAAAGTTAGAAAATTCTATAAATCAATAATTTGGATAATAGAGAACAATAATAGATAGTTTTTTTATGGTTATTAATTTAAAAATTTTAATATTTCCTAGTAAGGTACATTCGACTTTTGTTTTTGTCTCTTCCTTTAGAGACCTATTTTTACTTATAACATGTCTTACATATGTTATATGGAAGTTCTTTTCATTTTCTTATTGTGTTAATAACTGATCTAGTAATCTTTTTATTGCTTAACATTATTATGTTAAGTGCTTTTGATATTTTCCTTGTGAATTAAGGCATTATTCTCATTTTATATTTTTTAAATTATATCTTTATTTGTTTTTTTGATTAAAAAATAAGAAAGATATATTTATACTCTTTTGCTTGACTAATAATATAGAAATTAATAGTATTTCTTATTTATATATACTAAAACTATAATGACTTATAATAAATCTTACTATAAGTTTTTATAAATATAAAAAATGTATTTAAATATATAAGGTAATTAATAAAAGCTTGTTTACTTTTTTCAATTGTTTTATTATATTCAATCATAGTATGAAAATTTTGTATTACTCAAATTATAAAGTCAAACTGAAATAGTTAAAATAAACACTATTAAAGTCAAGCAAAGAGTAACAAAAAATAGAGATAAGCTTTTTTACCTATATACAACTATATAATATTTCTTTATAGTGTGAGATAACTGTACATCAGATTTTTTTTCTTTTAAAACTTTCTTATTATTAGTAGAAAAGATGTTACTTGACTTTTCAAATTACAAGAAATCAAGTTTTTGTTTAAAGCAAAGTGTAAATATGAAAGGAAGGGTAGAAATAACTTTTAAAAATAAGTATTAAGATTTTATTAGCAAGAAAAGACAAAACTTTTTTAATAAATATCTTTTTTATATATGGTTAGAGAATTAGCAAAAGAAGTTTTATGATAAATTGAAAAGTTTTTTTTTTTATAAAAAGGTTGGAATTAAAAATTATTATTTAAAATAAAATATCAATTTTTATAATTATGTTATTTTTTTTAAAATCTGAAACTAATAAAAGTAAGTTTTAATTATTCTATAATATTGTTTTTTAAAAAGAATAAGATTAATATAAATTAATTTTCTTTATATTTTTTAACTTATATGATCATATCAATCAAGAATTTTTTTATTTCAACTTTTATACTTTTTTTATATCTCTATTATTTACATATTTATCAAATGAAATAATTCTTTATTTTTAATGTTTTGTTTTTTTATCTATTCTATTAATTTTTATTAAGATTATTATATTTTTGTTATTTAAATTTTATATTTTAAATTAAGAGATACTTTTGATTAAAATATAGTTAAGTTTTATATCTTATAAAGTAAATTTAAGTTGATAATTGTTTTAAGATCTGTTTTATATATAAAAAATAATGGTAAATTTTTTCTTCTACAATTGTTATTTTTAGAAATATAATATTATTTATTTTTAATTGATTTAATTAAATTATTTTTTTAAAATTATATACAGTAATATTTAAAAAATTAATATATTATTTTACAATTTTTTATTTGTTTTAATAATTATTTTGTATTGAATATTCTTATTAATTTAGTTAAAATAAATATTAATTAATTTGAAAAAACTTTATGCTTGATCTAAATAAAATCAAATTGAATTATTATTATTTATTATATTGTATTAATCTTTAGGATAATATCTTAAATCATATTAAATTTAAAAAATTGATTGTTTAGGTTTTGTGTTCTTGTTTAAAATAAGATATTCTAGATTACAATATTATTAATATAGCAATTATCAATATAAAAAACTTTTATAGTAAATTTTTTTTAAAAATAACATTAATATTATGATTATATATGTTTGTTACAAAATTTTTGTTATTCGAAGTATACAAATATTTTGCTTTTTTTTTTTGGTATAAAGTATACAATATATTGATAAGATTTTTCAAATCTATAAAATAGATTCTAACCGATTATACTTTATTTTATTTGTTTGTATTAAATAGAGCTGATAGTTTAATAATAGTTAGTTATCTATAGTTATTGATTAGATTTCCTAAAGAAAAAGATCATTGAAATAGAATTAATGAGAAAATGAATTTTGATCATATATTAGTAAAATTTATTAATTTAAAAAGTTTTATAACTATATTTTAGAAGTATTTATATTCTATACAGTTTTATTGTAATTGTATTTTAAATATAATTATATTATTCTAACTTTCATTGTTAAAGAAACCTGCTTTGACAATCCACATAATTTTGGATAGGCTATTTGATTTTTCTATAATATCTTTCTTATCATTATTATTAGATAGAAAAAGTGAAGAATCAATATATCCACCAATCAAAACATAGGATTAAATGTAAGCTTTTTAGTTACCGAATATAAGCAACAGTATATACTGTACGTAGAGAATAACCTTGCCCTTCCCCATAATAATTTAAACACCTGCACGTTTATTTGTCTCTCCTACTCGCTCATCCATCTATATGTCATTTACCTATTCACTTATCACCCGTTCATTTACTTACCTCGCATATTTATTTATTCATTCACCACCTTCCCCATCAATGTATCCATCCACAAATCCGCTTATTCTTTCAGACAAGAGAGATAATAGATTGAAGGGGTGAGAGATGAGTAATTCTAGATAGGCGGACAGGCGGACGAGCGAATGGATAGACGAATAAGTGAATGAGTTAGATGGGTAAGCGAATGTATGAGTAGGCGGGCAAGTGAGTGAATGTATGAACGGATGAGTAAATAGGTGGGCGAAGTGAGGGCGGGTAAATAAATGTGTAGACGAGTGTAGGAGTTTGGTGGGTAGGTGACAGGAGGACGAGTGGATATATGATCGGGTGAGTGGGCGATGTGAATACGCGGGTGAGCTGAGTAAATGCGTGGGCATAAGTAGACAATTAAGTGAACGAGTTGGACGGGTAAGTGAGTGTATGGATTTAGTGGGTATGAGTCAGGTAGACGAGTGGATGGATAAGCGGGTAAGTAAATGAGTAGGTGAGGTGAATGCGCGAGTGAGGCGAATTCGTGAGTGAGGTGAATTCGTGAGTGAGGTGAGTAAATGTACGGGCGGATAAATGAATATGTAGATGATTAAGTGGATGATAATTGAGTGTATGGTTTAGTAAGTAGGCGGGCAGGTGGACGAGAAGATGGATGTGAGTAAGTAAAAGAGTGGGTGAGATAAAGGCGTGGGTGAGGTGAGTAAATGCGTAGGTGGGTGTAGACGATTAAAAGAATGGGTTGTTGGATTTTTTACAAAAGCGACCTTTGAATTTGAAAATAAAATTTTATACAGTAAATAAAATAATAAAATAAATTATTTCAATAATAATATATACAAAAATTTATTATGTGAATTATGACTACATTGAGGATTTTAATAGTACTTCGAACCATATTTTTCGAGACCCTAGCCTAAAAAGAATTAGCGAAGTAATTGATAGTCCGTGTTATGATTGTAAATATTAATGCGCTATAGATGGTTAAATTTTGGGACTTTGGAGGGTACCATATATTCGTCAGTATATTGTGGTTGTTTTGCAAGAAAGGAACAGATAATATTTTTCTCAAATATACAGTAATTAATAATCTGATAAATAGATTTTATATTTAGTTTTTTAACGTTTTTCAGATTTCCAATTTTTGCTGGCAACTGTCGCGCAATCGAGAGATGGTAAATCTCGATGAATAAAATACAAAAAATATAATTTTTTAATACAAATTCATAATACTGTAAAATTTTAATTTCTGACACTTAATAAAATAACAACAATAATAATTTTGTTATTGTCAACTTTATTTATACAGTATTCTATTGTTTACTGCTTGATAAAATAAAATAATAAAAACCAAAAAACGATAATAAAAGTAATATTATATATTTCGTAATCTCATGCATGCCAATCTCAAGAAGCAAATTTAAGAAAGTGCCTTTGAATAGAATATTATTTATTTATTTATATGTAAACTACAAAGAAAAGGGGAATATTGAAAACTACAGAGATGAATTCACAACATTTTCATAATCAAAATCCAGATGTCCAATAGCTCACTAAAGGGAAGCCAGAATAGATAGGGACCTTAAGAACTTCTTTTTCATATATAGTGGAATGTGATTTATGGAACAAATGATACGTGAGAACACGTTGACGAGTCATAGTGATCTTAATCTTTAGAATATTTAGATGGTAAGATTGACATGTCAAATATCATATAGAGAAATTTTATGATCTTTATCATTCGACGGCACGATTGGTGGGTTCAATATCATACGAGGAGAGAGCGGAGAAAAGTCATGGTAATTCGGGTCTTCAGAGGATTCGTCATTCGACGGCAAGATAAACAAATCCGACGGCATATAAAGAGGGAAGTCACAATTACTCGACGGCAATGAATGATTGGATGTGCCCAATGTCATATTTGAGTCTTTAGAAGAATGAGAATTAGGGAATTTAAAATTTTTTCTTTCTTTACTTACTTTTTTGTTATTTGACAATAAGGAATGAGTGGATATGGTAGGGTACGAAGGCAGGTTATTTATCATGGACTGGTGGTTTCGATTGCGTGAAATCGGCTTGAAGAATGTCGGCGAGTACTCTTCTAGCCTTCCGTGTTTTGTATACACGTAATCACAGTCTTCTTTTCGTAATTTTCTGTATCGATAGTTTTCCCATAAAATGTCGTGAAGGACATTGTTGCATGTTAATAATTGATCGTACATATGTTTATCCTCAAATGACATGTGCTTCCAGACTTTTTTCGCATTATCCTTATCATCCTGAAAATCATCACCTAAAAATCTATAACATGGCTTGGAAGCCATTTCGGCATAATAATTTTTTCGAAATAAAATAAAACTATTTTTATAGCAGGGAAAGTCTGTTTTACGATTAAGACTGAAACTAAAGAAAATCAGATGATGAAGATGGATGTAAATTCTTGGAAGGTATATAACGAGTTGGCTGTAGGGTATAATCCAGTTGATTATATTATCTAGAATATCGGATGTTAGTGTTGGATTCTTTGGTAAGAGAATGAACGGTCTAGGGGAGGTGCCAAATTTAATGGTCGAGATTTTCGATACGAGAATGGGTGATTTAGAATTACGTCCCTGGTCTTCTTCCACAGTAGAATTAGGTTCAGGGTGATTAGTGTGCGAGTTAGGGATCTGCATACTCATTGTAGAAATTTTTAAGTAATGACTAAGGACAAGAGGTTTTGTTTTGGGTTTTTTTTTTCTGGTTTCTCTTATATTCTCTTTTCTTTCTTTCTTTTTTTTTTTACAAAGGTCTGCTTGGAACAGTTAAATACAGTTTCCGAGATTGCCCAGTAATTTGAATTCCATAATTCATACAAATAAAAATTTAATTTAGGAATGAATCGGATTTTTTTTTGACGGCTAATGTCTGACAAGAGTCATCGTTTGATACTTCAAAAGAAAAAGAATCTAGAAGGTACAGTACATACTTGGAAATTCCATTGCTGTCTCAAAAAGTCGTCGCTGATTTGCAAGAAGACTACCGATTATCATTGAGTCAATAAATGTATTGGGTTCCATTGTAATTTGAAACAATTAAAAGAAAGGTAATAAAAAAATTTTTATAGGGAGGAATTTCTTTAAAATACAGTATTTACTCGTAATTATATATTGCCATCTTTCGTGTGTCAATAATGGATTATCACAAATAAAATTGAAATCTATTTTTAGCCACCGCAAAGAATATGTTTTTTTCCTTATGGAGACAAATATTGTTAAGAGAGTTCGGAGAGACCTCCGTCCAACAGGAGCCGAGAAATGTGAACTTGTTCAATTGAATCTGAAGTGTGGAACCCAGATCGGCCAAATATTATACGTGTATGCTTATACTCTTCAACACAATCGTATCAACTTTTTTGTTATCAGCTACGCATCTATGTAAACACTTTGTTACCTGTCCCGAATATACAGTATGTAACTACGTACGTGGCGAGAGATCATTTACCTCGTTATTAGGATAAGAAAGAGTCACCAATGAATTTACTATGAATAAAATCTGTTCTCTGAAATATCGTAGATAACTTTGCCTATTGTGAGATTATCAACCGCAACTACCCCGTTGTTAGAGAACGAGAGCACCAATGGATTAACCGTGAGTAAAGCCTAGACTATTTTCTGCATATGGTTAACTTTTCGTGTCGCGAGATTTTTTCCCATTTTAGAGAACGAATGCATTAATTAATTGGTCATGAATAAAACCTGTTCTCTGAATATAGATACTGTGGCGATATTATCAATCACAAATTTCCCGTTATTTGAGAATGAGCGCATTAATTAATTAACTATAAATATAATTTATTCTCCGAATATACGTATCTATAAAAAATTTTTCGTTTTATTTTTTAAATGTTTTATCTAAAAAAACCACGAGTGGAGCTTTCGTGTATAATAATAAAAAGTGATTGTCATTTATACGTAAAGGATAATTGCCCGGATAATACGTACGTATCTGACGTTATCTAAACACGTATCAATTTAAGGTTTGTTTTTATTGTATGAATTTTTAATAAAATTTTGTGTACAACGAGATTCCGGTTCGTGAACACAGGTTCAAAATACAGATTCGCAGTTCTGCCGAGAAGGGCCTGATGAAACTTTAATGTTGATCTTTGCTAAATTTGGACTTTCAACCCGTACTAAAAAGTTGAGACTGTATCTTTGCGTTAATAAAACTATAGCACGATATCTAAGGAAAGTATTCGTTGAAGAATATCTTTCTAAATTTATTCATAGCGCGAATTCCTATTAATTCACAGATTAAAAGACATATTCGTGCGTTAGATAGTACATGTGCACAGGATGTGGTTACATCACAGATACATAAAGCGTACGTTAAAATAAAAAAATTGTCACTATTTTGCCATGTGTCATTTTTGCAAACAATAAGTAACAAGCGAAAGATCCCCGTTTTTCTGTTGTATTGTTTTTATTTAGTAAGGTTACCTTTGAGTGATAGGGTGAACCTTTGAGATTTGCTGCATAGGCTTGCAATATAAGGGTTTCCAAGAATGTTCCAAAACGGAAAAGGAAAATGGACACTCTGTTATTCACAGAGTGATGCATCTAAGACGGTGAGACATCATGCAAATACAGTGCAAATAAGACTGCATATGTTTGCATTTATTTTTGTCCACACAGAACCCATTTGTTAGTCATGTTGCAAGATACTCTGATTGATTATTTTAAGCAAGTCTCAAAACGGGAAAGAATTTGCGTGAAAATCTAAAGGCAAAAGATCATATTACGTATACGTACGTATTGTTTTCCAAATATAGTATTTCATTGCACACGCATATACTGTATATTAGTTCCAACTGACAATGGACTTTTTAGAATACTCAATCATGCAATCACTTGGAATTTGGTTTTTAGTATAAAAATCGGATTATAAAAATTAATAACGATATACTATATGCTGTGAAAATCATATTTTTTAATAAACCAGTATTTTAAACAATAACATGACATTATTAGTAGATAATCTATTTTAAAGTACAGTATAAAGTTATATAATTCGAAGAAATATTACTGTATTCCAATTTCAATCCATATTCCCTTACTGGGAAAGACGCAATAAAAAAAAAAAGGTTATTAATGCAAAAAAATGCCATAGTGTTTTGTTGAAGCATGTAATTTTCAAAAGTGTAACAGAGTCTAAGTTGCTGTTTTTGATCGCAAAATAATGTTCCCCGCGCAGAGAATTTGAAAGTAAGAATTCGAAAATTAGGCAAGGAAGTCAGAAATAAGAAATTATTCGACGTAGCAAAAGACGGAGTCTGATTTATGCTTTTGGAGATAAAAAAAAAATTCTTTTTTTGAGTAATGAGTCGAAAGTTGAAAGCTGATTTATAATAACCGGAAGTTGTAAGCCACGAATCTTGGAGTTGAAATAAATTTTTTTTAAAAAAAAAAAAAGTTGTACAGATAGGGATTGCGATTAATTTTTTTTTTTAAAAAACATGATTCGAACCTGACCGAATCAGCTTTGGCTTAATCCGAACAGAATCGACGGGTTTTGAATGTCATATGTTCATTTTTATCTCCCAATCATATTTTGATAACAATAACAGACATTATATCGATACAGAACTGAGGGACGAAAGAGATTAACATAAGGCATTCGAATATTATCAAGGTTAGCTGAAATAAACGATGCCGACAGGATTCGTGCAATAAAAAGTCAAAAGGATGAGCATAAGACATTCGAATATTATACGTATCTCCCATTTCGTTTTGAATGCCTTCATCCTCATCGCAAATAATAAAAATATCTAAACCATTCGTATCATCCATCCCAGTTATCTTTGATAATGCTGCGTTTATCCTTTTAACTCTAATTCCTTTATCACGACATCATCCAACTTTTTGCACCCCATTTAAATCGTCCGTCTTGATTGATTTTTGAGAATATTCGAATAGTCCTTAACTTCGAATCTGTGACGGTAAATAGAAGTCAACGTTATACGTTTCCTTTACATGTCAATTGTTAGCTGGCTTTCGATAATATTCAGATGTCTCATGTTTATCCCGTACACTTTAATTCAACGATAGCTCGATACATATCATCTCAGCCGATTTTTGGAAATATTATGTTCGTCGTTTTTAACTTCGATACTATTTGATGGCAATAGCCAATATTACACGTTCTACTTACATTACACATTTCAATCGATTTTTATATCATCCGAATGACTTATGCACGTCTATTTTCACCCTCATAACTATATAAATTTTCAATTAATATACAATAGTCTTAGGCGCACAACTTAGCAAATATTAAAATACTCCATCTAGCATTAAACAATACCAAATCTCAACATGTTATAGAGAGTAGTTTTTATCAGGACAATATAATTCCTTTTAATTTGAAATATCATTTATAACTCTCTTCATAAAATTCTTTTTATTCAAAAGATATAGGATATAAAGCATATTGCAAATCGTCATAGCGACTGCCCGGTGACCATCTTTTTTAAAAAGGAAAATTTCCTAATTCATAAAATAACCGCGAATTTTAGGGATGTATTATCGATTCGATTGTTTTGGGTGAGTTAAGACGCGACATAACTCGCCTAATTACACTATTGGGTCCGTGTAATCTAGTAATATGAAAATATGCGATATTAATTTTTAATGCCGAACCAATGGATAACGAGCGAGTTCGTCGCTGTGTACGTAAAAAGAATTTTATAAAAAAAGAGTCTGTTGCCCACTTATGCACACAGTGTTCACTGTGAAACTTGTGCCTATATAATTGCATCAATGAACTGTGACACTGTAGAGGAAAAATATTTAGTATTAAAAAATATTGTGCTACCTATAATTTTAAAATTACTTTGAACAACGGTGTTTCAATGATTCATTGCAACCACTATATTTTAAAATTTTTGATTCCAGAACAGGTTAAAAATCAAAGTGTTAGAGTAGAAAGACTTTTATTTAAAATATACAGTAAGATTCACTTAGGATTTACCTTTCATAAACAATACAATATATTCGACATGCATATTTTCTTATAATATCATGTATCTACAGAAAATTTAAATTGTGAGCATCATGACAAATCTATAAAACACACATAGACCACATAACGACTTATACGGTAGATTCATTTATATTTATATTCTCTCGGTGCTCTTCTTGCGCGTCGGCACGACAGATCAGGTTTTTAGATAAATAGTGTTTTCATTGGTCGTACTTGCGAAAGTTTCGAATTTTTGACTAACTTATGTCAAACGTGATCTGTTATGTATACACGATGTAACCGATATTCGTACTTGGTTGAAGAAACCATCGCAATAGCATAATTATAGATCTAAGGGACAGAGTTTTTAAAAAAAGTACAGAAAACTTGAATCTGTACTAATTGTTGGAATAAATCCAGTATCTTATTTAGAGTAAAAATAACTTTTTTTTTTCTTAATGCGCGATAGCCTTTTTTATTGTTATTTGATTCGGAAATTATCTCAATTGTTATTTGAGTTTAGAAAGAAAGAAATATCACATAATTATTATTTGAGTTTAAAAAGAAAGAAATACGATATTCCCCTCATACCATCAATATTTTATTAAAAAAATAAAAAATTATAAATACAAATAAACAAATAATCCGACCCTTCTTTACTATGTGTTAATATAATGATAGATATGTGCAAAAAGGGATAAATCTTGATATCCGAATAAAACCATAGTTTCGTTTAATGTATTGTATAACACTTAGATTCTAACGTGCTTGTTAACCGAGTCAACTCATTATTTATCGTAGGAGACATAGTTTGACTTTGGATTGAGTCATCGACCGATCCTGCTCGCTAAATTTGAATTTTGAAGTAAATATTTTGTAATTAGAATTCTGATTTCCGGAGATTCGATTCAAACTGTCATTGTTATTCACGGAAGGTGGATTATTCGGTCGTGTTCAGAAGGACGTTGTCGAATATCCTTTGACATCACCATAACCTTAATTACTATAGTTAATAGTTATTTTCGCTCGGGTTCACTGACATCGTAATCTAGCCGCATTTCATCATGTAATTTTTTAGTGCACCTTGAAATTCGATCATACATATATTTATCCTCGGGAGAACATTTTCTCCACATTAAACCTGCCCCGCTAGAGATCTCTTGGATTCTTGATCCTATTTGTGGGCCGTACCCTGCTACCATCCTCGCGTGGTAATCTTTTCGAAAGGTTATAAAACTATTTTGGTAACGTAGCATTGTACGTCTTGGACGACTGCTGGGAAGAATAAGGTCGTAGAGAGGCATAAAAAGCTTTGACTCATACTTGTTTCTTTCGTCTTTAGTTAAAACAGAGTTTATAATATTATCGAGATATTCTTTGGTAAATTTTTTAAAATTTGGTTTAATCCTGCGAGATCGAGAAGGAGGAGTGTTCGGAGAATCGATTTTTTCTGTTGATAAGTAAGTTAATGCATCATCTTCATGTGAAGGATTCAATTGTTCCGTTAGCATGTAACTTGATGCATCCTTTTTACGAAATTGAAAATGAGGAATATGCGAGGGATTGTGTTGTTCCGTCGACATGTAAGTTAGCGCATCCTTTTCACGAGAATGAGAATAAGGGGCGTTTGCGGGATCAAATTGTTTCGTTATCAAGTAAATTGACGCATCCTTTTCACGAGAAGAGTGCGAGGGATAGAACTGTTCCGACGAGTAAATTGATGTATTTTTTACACAAAAACGAGAATGATAAGAGTGAAAGGGGTTTAATTGTTCCGGTGGCGAGTAAATTGATGTGTCCTTTTTATGGGATTGAGATTGAGATAAAGGAAAGGAATAGTGCTCTATTTCGGGTTGATAGTATGAAGGAAAATTTGAATCCATTTCTCAAGAATTTTTTTTTAAAAAAAAATGAAATTCCGAAATCGAAGCCTTTTATAATTACAGCTACTATGTCTTTTATCATCATAAAAGGAGAATCCATTCTATTTGCACGCCGTTTTTCTGATCTTACGAAATAAATTAACCAATCCATCATCAAAATTTAATTATTTTCTGTTTTCAGCGCATGTACCACGCATGTGTATCTAATTTTTGTCTATTTAACCTCTATTAAGTAATCTAAAGAGATATTATTTTTTATACTGGGAGGATACTAAATAATATGAATAGCGGTGACCGGTTGACAAGAAAACGAGGGGTAAGACATAAAATAATGAATTAGGGTAATGTTTGTTCCTCTGTTTTTAGAG